GACTAACCCTAGACTGCGAGAGCTAGTGGCGTCATTATTTGAGACTGTGGTACGTCTCCTGTAGAGCTTACAGTAATTAGACTAGCAGTAAAGAGATTAAATCTATTCTTGATCTTTAACTCTAAATTGGAAGCTTCAGACTGCTTCAAGTTATACAAATCCTCTAAGGACATTGAATTGTCCTTACTAGCCAAAGCTTACTAAGTTAACCAAGACATTAACTTGCCTTTGTTACCCTCTTATCTTACTTATCTAAAAAACCCTATTCTACTAACCCAAGTAGCTAGTCCTTAAGCTACTAACTAAACCTTCTTACAGCCCATCTTCTAAGATTCCTTAAAAGTCCCTTGTAACAGGCAAGTGAGGCTTTAGAGTACTTAAGCAGATTAGTAGGTGGTCTTTGAATTAGTCCCCCACGAACACCAGGATAGCTTGGTTGAAAGGCTAACCCAGTGAACCCTGGAAAGAAAAGATTGGGAAAACCAAATCTAAGTATTCCATACTATACCCTTCTTGCTTTTAGTTTAGAACAGACCAAACTCCATTCTCTTTTATTAAAAAGTAACCTTCTAGGATTTCTCCTAGAATCTTCCTTATACCAAACCTCATTTTTATTTTACTTACTTTTCTTATCCTAACCTTTTCTTTACGACATCGCGTACTCGATCCATTTTATCGACAAATTGTTGGACGTTTTCACTTAGTTCCTCTCGTACCGGTTGGGTTCCTTCATAAGGGTGGTACCTTTTATTGACGAAGAATGGAGTATACCCGGTGGATGAATGGACTTTATTGTTGTACGAAAAGGCCGCGAGTGGCAACCATTCGGCCCAATTGGCTTGTCAGTAGTTAATGAATAATCGGAGATATTGTTCTATTTCACGATTGATACGTTCCGTTTGTCCATCAGTCTGAGGGTGATACGCGGTAGAGGAGTTGGCTTCGATTCCAAGCGATCGGTATAGTTCAGAGATGAACTTGTTCTTGAATTCAGTGCCCCTATCACTGATGATCTTTCAGGGTAGTCCGTGATGTGCCACCACATGGTCGCGAAGTGCTTTTCTCCATCCTTCGGCATTGAGTTCAATGTTACTCGGTATCGTGATTATCTGCTTGGAGTACATGCAGACGACTACGAGAATAGCGTTGTACCCAAAGGACTCCGGTAATACTCCTATCTTATCTACAGAGATTATTTCCCAGGGTCGCGTAGGGATTTCGTTGGGGAAGAGAAGTCCGGTAGGTCGCGTGGTGTGAACCTTGGTCTTCTGGCATTTTTCACATCCAGCAACGTACTTTCGGATGTCTTCTCGAATTCTAGGCCACCAGTAGTTACGCGTGACCATTTCGTGTGTTTTGTATTGACCGGGGTGTCCTGTCAATGGGGTATCATGGTGATGAACAATGATCTGTTCACGGGGCTTCCTATTTACCGGTACGTAGATACAGTTCTTCCACGTCACGAGTCTGGTGCTATCTTCGTTCCAATCTTTGTCCTTGTTCTGTAAGGCTACGGTAACTAGCGAATCTTGGTTCTTTTTATATTTTTTAATCTCTGCGACCCAGTCCTGGCCGATTCCTTCTAAACTAAATACAGTACTACAGATTAGGGCACGGAAATGTTCTGGTTTTAATAGCACGATATCTGAATTGTCCTCTTTTCCTGCATTATGTCTCTTCTGTCGAGACAGCCCATCGGCCTTGCCATTTGTCTTTCCAAGTTCATGATGTAGCGAGTAGTGATACTCAGCTAATTCGGTTACCCATCGAGCTTGTCATCGATTGAGCTTCTGTGGCTTTTGGAAGTATTCTAAGTTCTTGTGGTCTGTCCATATTTCAAACGGATGCCGGGCGCCCATGAGGTACTGGCGCCACTCGTCAAGACTAGTCATGATCGCGAGAAGTTCCTTATCATAAATCTTGTAATTTCTTTCGGCTGCTGTCATAGCTTTGGATAGATAAGCGACGGGCTTCCATTTGCCATCTTGCTTCTGGGCTAACTCAGCTCCTATGGCAAAGTCCGATGCGTCACATTCTACGCGATAGAGGTCGTCGTCATTGGGTATGGCCAATACTGGTGCGGAGCAGAGTGCGTCTTTCAGGCTCATGAACGCTACTTCTTGTTCGATAGTCCATTTGAAGGTAGCATTTCCGGTTAATGAACTAAGTGGCTTCGCTATTTTGCCGTAGTCTCGGATAAATCTTCGATAGAAGTTGGTGAAGCCGAGGAATGCTTGGATATCTCGTTTGCACTCGGGTCGAGGCCAATTGACGACTCCTTCTATCTTGACTGGGTCCATGCGGACAATGCCCTTTCCCACTATCATACCCAGGTATTCGACTTCTGTCTTCTCGAACTTGCACTTT